CGGCAGAGTTTCCCCTTAGCGGAAGTCACATGCAACCTCCAGAACTCCACTTAGGCACGCCCACAGACCATGGTGGGTCTAGGAGGGTCTTCACACTTCAGTAGACTCTCCACAAAGTCCTTAATCAGCTCTGATACCACTTGTTAGAGACTAACGACGGAGTCTATGAAGATTAGGAGCCGAAATATCTCAAAATCGTTGGGCCTAGTTTCTGGACGGAAAAGCCGAGTTCACAAGAAACGTTGTCGACACAAAATTCACTGTTAAAACTTCACCAAACTCAGATATGTTGTAGCCCTAGTCTGTGGCTACAATTCCCAATTTGAATCGTACAATAAGATGAAGTATTTCTTGAGTTATGAATTTCGGTGCACTAGGGGGTAAGGTGCCATCGAATCTTAACTCAATCACAATTGTCTCACAATTTCACAATTACTACACAAGAGAGTTTGAGTAGCAATAAACCAGGTGGGATGGAATGAGGAGGACAAGAGGGAAGGTCCCAAGAGATTCCCCAACCAAGGAAACCCCATGCCACACAATTCCCCTCTTCATAGGCAACCCCACTTTCACTTTTGTCACTTTCCCAACCCATGCCATCCACCTTGCCCAACTTGGCCACACTTGCCAACCTGGTTTGGCTCCTCCCAACCACTTGGCAGCATCTACAGTGATGTTGACGAATTTCCCAACCCCCAAAAGTCTGTACCCCTTATGGAGTCAACCCCACAACTTCCCATAGTCACCACAACCAAACATCAAAAGCATACGAACTTCCAACGTTTGTAACTTTCTTGTTCGTGCTCCGATTGAAGCGATACTTGGTTCGTCGGGAAGCTCTTGAGCAGTGGAGTCACTTCAGATATCTGATCAAGCCAAATAACATTCACGCACACAAAGAAAATCCAAACCACAGAAAACACAAATACTTGCACACGCTCACACCACGCATGCAACGCACGAACATGTGATGGGAGGCAGACAGACGTGAATGCAAATGATAGCATCACATAACACTCAGCACCCCCAGGCTCCGCACGCTCAAGCTCAGCACCCCCAGGCTCTGCACGCTCAGGCTCAGCACCCCCAGGCTCCGCACGCTCAGACACATCACCCCCGGGCTCTGCACTCGTAGGCTCAGCACCTCCAAGCTCTACACGCTCAGGCTCAGGACCCCCAAGCTCCGCACGCTCAGGCTCAGCACCTCCAGGCTCCGCGCGCTCAGGCTCCGTAACCGCAGACTCAACATCCCCAGACGCAGCACCCCCAGCAACACCAGAGTCACCAGTGACCTTGGCAGGCTCAACCAAGGGGAGTGGGTCTACCAGAGACACACCTGAAGGAGCAGGACCCTGAGGGGGGGAGGGGGTCTACCGGAGGGGGACCTGGAGCGAGGAAGAGCGGCAGGAAAAAGAGACGGTAAAAGAGAACCGACTCGTTAAACGTGACATCATGAGAGGGTAGGACACGACGCGAGGTGGTGTGGTAAAACTGCCAGCCAGGCGCATCAGGGGGAAAGCCAAGGAATACACAAGGAACGGCGTGCGAGGAGAGCTTGTCCGCGGAGGTATCGCGGACAAAGGCATGATAGCCACAGACCCGGAACACCGACGCATCGCCAACCTCTCCCGTCCAACGCAATGTAGGCAAGGTCTCCGACAAGGAGACACTAGGCCAGAGGTTGAGCTGATGCGCAGCGTACCGGACCGCAAACAGCCACAGAAAATGGAGAGCAGCCGCATGGATCACGAAGGTACGAGCGACCTCCATGACTAAGCCATTGCGGCGCTCAGCAACCCCATTCTGCTGCGGAGAGACCGGAAGCATGAACGACTGGAGGATGCCCTCCCCACGACAAAAGTCCCGCAAGAGGTTGGGGGAGAACTCAGCGCCTCTGTCAGAGTGCAGACGCAGGACAGGAAGGTCCATGTCGAACCGCTCACGGAGCTGGAGACGGACAGCGTGGATCCAAGGGATCAAAACATTAGGGACCTCCCCCTTGCTGCGCAAGGGGAAGAGCATGGTGTGACGCGACTAGTCGTCAACAACCAGCAGAAAGTATCGCTCCCGACCCTGTCCATGGACGCGGGCTGGGCCCCACATGTCCGTATGGAGATTTTCAGAGGAGCAGTCGTCGGGGGAAACGAGGAGTGAGGAGTGGCGCGCTGCCACCCCTCAACACAGGGAAGGCAGGGAGGGGCAAGCGAGGGTGGGACGGGAGGCAGAGACCTGGGAAGACCAGAGACAAGAAGGCGAGAGTGCATGCCACGGAGGCGTGGCAGGGAGGGGTGACCTAGGCGGTGGTGCCAAAGGAGAGTCTGGTGCGATAGGAGGCGACACGAACAGGGGGCTGCTAGCTGACCTGACGCGGATGCAAACGCAGCTACCTGAGGAGGCACAGTAGTCAGTGTGTGCAGGCTCGGCCCAGGCCTACGGGTGAACATGGCCAGGTGACGGCATATCCGTGCACACGTGCAGATCGCCACACACTGTCCTCCAAGAGTAAAGGTATTAACCCATTCATCCTGAAGGACGGCGTTGCTCACCAAGTTCGTGGAGAACAAGGGGAGGTGAAGACCTGACAGTGAGCCAGACAGAACCGCCGGCCACGAGAGAACAGAGGTGGAACGTGCAAAAAACCGTTCCCCTAGAGGTGTCAGCCACAGAGACTGCAACTGGTGCTGCGAGTGGTGTGACTGTGGTGCTGTCGCAAAGAAGCAGCGGGAAGCACCTTAGTCAAGCGTGAAGGTGTGCAAGGCCTCAGCAGGCGCAGTACCAAAGAGAGCAGACTCACCAGCATCTTGAGAAGACTCACCAGCACCTAAACCAGACTCACCAGCACCTAAAGCAGCGGCCGCTCTACCAGGGTGAGGTGGCACACACAGGTAACAGTCACCCTGAGTACTAATAGTCAAAGCATACATGGCAGTGAGGATAGTGTCATAGTCTAGAGCAAAGATATCCACCTTTTTCCGAAGCAGCTCTAGCCAGCGGGGGAGCTTAGCCTCGTCGCCAAACACTACACGACAGGCGTCGCTCAGACAGGCGAAGCAGCGAGCCTGTGTGTGACCAACTGTCCCGCAAGTCTGACCAGCCCGATCACCTGTGCGAATGACGTATGGGCAGCGGGCAGTACTCCAAGTTCCCCCACTCTAAGCGTACCACCTACGAAGCTGCAGACGCCGCTGTGGCGTAAGGGTCTCGCGCGGACGCCGCTGCAGCTGCATCTGGCCACCGCTAGAAACTCCGCACTGAACAGCTCCACCGCGATCACTAATACGGCCGCGGCCACCACACCTACTGGCGTACCACTCACGAAGCTCCTAGGGCGTAAGGGTCTTGCGCGGACGCTGTTGCAGCTGCATCTGGCCACCGCCAGGAACTCCCCACCGAACAGCTCCACAGCGACTGCTACTACGGCCGCCACCACTCCCACTGCTGCCACCACCGTCGTCACCACTCCCACCGCTACTACGAAGTGAAGTCATAGTGGGCAAGTAAGGAGGCGCACGACCAGAATGGCAGTACGGAGGGAAGGCAGTAGCACGAGCAGTAGTAGCAGCAGTATGAGCAGCAGAGCAGCTCGGTGAGGCTAGGCTGCAGCACCTCCAGCACTCCTAGCAGCACCTCCACCAGCAGCAGCAGTAGCACGAGCAGCAGGGCGGATCGGGTTGGGTAGGGCGGCTCGGGCTGGGCGGCGCAGCTCGGCCTGGGCGGCGTGGGCAACAGGGCGCGCGCTGCGCAGGGCAGCAGGGCGCGATGCACGTGCTGCAGAAGGGCGCGACGGGCAGGGCAGCAGGGCGCGACGCGCGGGCTGCAGCAGGGCGTGACGCGCGGGGCACCAGGGCGTGACGCGCGGGCTGCAGCAGAGCGCGACGCGCGGGGCAGCAGAGTGCTATCAGTCGAGAGCAGCGCCGGGGCGTGGGCGGAGGCGTGAGGTCGAAACTTCAAGTCGAGGTTGGGTATTCTGAGGATGAGTCGAGTGTCAATGAGGATGACCAAGTTAGTGGGGGCAGGGAGGCGCGAAAGCCAGGATTTCAGCTCATCGATTTTGCGAGTCTCGTTGATTTCAGCTCATCCATTTTGCGAGTCTCGTTGATTTCAGCTCATCCATTTTGCGAGTCTCGTTGATGCATAGGATGCGGAGGAGGTGTGTTAACATGGCAACGACGTGAAGGCCACCGCACGGGAGATCGAGCGTATCCACGGCCTAAGCACGAGTTGTCGCTGGTGAGTACAAGGGGTGAAGGTGAGGCTGGGGGCGTGCCAAGCTTGGTGGGCTTTGTGGTGCCGAGGCGACATTGGGTTGCATGTCTGCAAGTTCAGGAGGCATACCGGTAGGTACTTGAATTCACCAAGATGTCGAAACAGTGCTTTGGAGTGTGGGGTGCGTGACGTATCTATGCGTGCTGTTTTTCTTCGAATGTGACCAGAGCTACACTGCAGCCGCAAGGCTGACATGAGGTGCACTGAGATAGTTAAGTGCAGAAAAGTGATTGACTGATGGACTATACGGGGGTTTGTATGTAGATCAAGTAATAAGAAATTGTACGATCCTTTATCCTTCATTAAACAAAGGTGTGCAGAGACGCGCTATCATTGTTATGCTCTTTTGTTAGTTTGCATTGACGGCAGTGTCCAATATAGTAACAGTAACCCTTTTTCCAGCTAGAGTTTGGACAAGGGTTGCATCTGAGCGTAAAGACAGGGACAGGACGTGCACGATAACAAGTGAAGCAGTTGAAGCATGGAAGCGGCTTGACGCGATCTAATGTACAGTATTGTGGGGCAAGCAGCCAGGGGGCAGCAAAAGCTGCTGGGAGTGTAGGTAGAGGGGGGTAATTCTCAGACGGAAGCAACATTTCTTGGAAACACATGTAGCAAAGGCTTCTGCCAGGCACACAGAGTGAGAGAGGGGCCAGGGAGTACCACAAGTGGGGGTAGGTAGAGCGGCAAGGGAGCAGGGGTTTCTGAGGGGCTTTGTGAAGGCGCCTCAAAAATCAGAAAGGGCGGAAGGTGGAGCAGCGGGATATCAGGGCCACCTGAGGGCCCAGGGTGAAACCAGAGAAGCATGAGGGGGGAAGGATGATCCAGGGGGACGGAGGGGCGGTGTAAGGACGGGGTGGGGCGGGGAAGGTAGGAGGTGAGACAGCCACGGTGAGCCACAACTGGGGGAGGAGGCCGGCATAGGGGAAGGGATAGGGGCGGTGTCGTATTGGCAAGGGGCACGAGCCTCGGAGGGGAAGAAAGGGGGGAACATCTGGGGAAGTGGGTGTGAGTTACGTCACTAGCCGAGGCGTTAAGCGACATCAAAGACTGGGCAGGAAGGCTGGACAAACGAACAAGGGGGTAGGGCAAGCGTGCATACACGAGAGGCAGGTCGAAATCAAGGGCTGCGAGGCACCGGCGGTGGGAGAGGAGGTCAGACAGGCGATTCCGAGAGCCATGACCAGGGCGGTCTAAGAGCGCTGACTGGGAGTAACGAGGCCAAGCGCAAGTAGAGGAGAGAGCAAGGATGTGAACGCAAAGGCGTTGGCCACAGCTGTTCAAAAGAATAGACTGAAAGCCTGATTGGCAGCCCGAGTCAGGGGTGGACTGGAAGCCTAATCGGCAACCCGAGTCCGAAAACCATGCATATAGGCAAGGGTGGCGAGGCAAGGTGTGGAGCAACAAAGCGACAGAGAGAGCGACGTAGCGAAAGTAAGGGACAAGAATAAGACCACGAGGCGTAATGAAGCGATAAGTTGGCATAGGGCTGAGAGAGGCAGGAGGGTGTGCGGCATCCCTTACCTGAGAGTATGCGAGGGTGAGGTAGCGTAGACAGGCTTCCGGTTGCCATCGCTGCCAAAAATAGAAAAGGGCCGAAGGTGAGATGTGAAATTTGCAGTATCTCGGTGAGCATGCACCCGACCTACGAGAAGATGGCTGGGAGGTGAAGCGCGAGCGTGGGACCAGCATGTATGATGGCAGACACGTCGGAAGAGAAGGAGGGGGAAACATAAGCGGGAGGGGGGCACGGTTGAAAGGAAGCGACGGTGAAATTGTTGACATCGCTTAGGAAAGGGAGCCGGCAGGGCGATAAAACCCGTGTGAGCGAGAGGGGGCGGAGCGATAAAGACCAGCGCATGTGCAAGCTGCCGGGTTCCTGGCAGAGGCAGGGGGTTATCCGTTAGCGGTGGCGCAGGAGCCGTAGGGTGCGGCCAGCAGCGCAGGAACGTCCCTGGGCGGCTACGTGGCATTAACGAGGCTCCTCTTTTGCTTCGCGAAAAAGGAAGGTCGAAACACAGACAGGCGAGCGATATCGGTCGGGTAGTTAAGCGGGAAAACCGGTGAGAGATAAAAACTGGGAGGCGAGGGGCGAGACTGGGCAGGAAACCACGTAGGATGCTAAGAAATGACTGGTTTTGATAAAGAATAGTCGCGACATGTTCCCTGCATGTCGGCGCGAAGTTCTTAAGGGAGATCGGGGTGAACGAGGTGAGCAAGGTGGGTAGCGGAAGTAGACCGAGGAGGAAATCCGACATATCTGGCGCCAAAACGATGTTGAGTGACGGGAACCTGCCTAATCGGCGATGGTTTGACAATCGTGCAGTGGAATATGCAGGTACCGTATCGCCCCGGATAGAAGCGCCGCTTGATTAAAGGCGTCGGCGCTTCTATCTGGAGCCACGCGCTTATGGCCGGTCCTCAATTATGAGCGCATCCCTTCCCCATAGGGGATAATCTTTCCACTTTTTTTTTCTTAACATTTTTTACCTGCACTAATATGATTTCTACGCATGCCTCTCTACCAATATTCTCATTACACATTACGATTCACATTCCTAACTAGAACTCTACTCGTCGTCAGACTCCGGCTCCTCGCAGTTGTTGCCAAAGAAGCCGTTGGCGAAGATCTTGTCATCCACGTCGACCTCGTCGGTCAGCTGGCTCCGCTTGTGCGCCATGGCAAGGTTGTCCTCACTGCCGTCAAGCACATTGCTGATGCCACAGGAAAGAAACGCCTTCTTGATAAGCTCTCGTGGCACAGCCTTCCAGGCCCGTGAGATCCACATGAGCACCACCGCAGGGGGCGGCTTCTTGATGTTCCCTGCACCACAAGTCAGAGTGGGGGAGATGGTGTTTGCACAAGATACAGGGGGAAACAAAGCAGCCATCTATCCATCAATGGTGGGGTTCTTACCTGCAGGCGTCGGCCGCTCCTGACCCTCCTCTTCAAACCAGGTCTGGTACTGCTGGCAGATGGATGCTTTGAAGGGCTTCTTGATCGAGACGTCGAGGGGCTGTACCTCCGCCGTACAGCCCGATGGGATCACCGCCGTAACGATGTCAAGGTCGACAAACTTCTGCTTCACTTCGTCAGTGAGATGACCGCGGTAAGAGTCCAGGACAACCATGGCACTCCTCGCCTGCCTGCCAAACCGAGGCCGGAGGAAGGGCTTTACGCACTCCTCCAGCTAGCACAGCTCCGCGACGTCTACGCAGACACGGACAGTGTTAAGAGGCGGCGGTTAGTCAATACGGTACTTTTGATTGAAAACTACAACAAGCATACGGTACAAAAAATTTCAGTACTTAAGCTCGACGGTTTGCTGAGCAATCCTCGTCTTCATGCGCACGCTCAGATTCCATTGTTTTTGAAACCGATCCAGCCACCACTGGCTGCCTTTCCACTTCACGTCGGGGAACAGATCCTTCACGAACTCCTTTGACCACTCCTGCAGGCGACCGACAGAGACGGGTGTTCCTTTGCGGCGCCACTCAAGAAGCTTCACGTAGACTTTCAACTCCATCGACCTGTTCCACGATGCCCTCCCACGCCCGTGCATCCGCTTCCATGCTGAGTGCGCTTCCTTGAGCATGGCGGCGGCTTTCTTCCACTGGCGGATTCCAGACTCGCGAGACAAGGACCGCAGCGACACCGCTACATCCATGCGCCCAATCCACCGCAGCTTCTCCTGCGCGGTATAAACATTGCACTTATGCTGTGAGGGCTTGAGCCTGGGAGAGGGGGGGCGGGCATCATGGTTCTCAAAAGAGGGGTGGGGGCGCTTGCGGTTAACCGGAGGAAACGTAGGGATAGGGAGCTTCTCGGAAAGTCTGTTGTGCGACCAATACTCCACACCGTCGTCGTCTTCGCCGCCCGGGGCACCTCCAAGAAACACATCTTCCGCGGTGCCGGCATCGGCGCCAGTGTCAGTGCCACTGTCGATGCCGACCTCGGTGCCAGCCTTGGAGTCGGGCACATCGTCGTCAGTGCCCACACCAGATTCGTCCCACGCACAATCTTGCGACTGGCCCCATCATGGTGCCGTGGGCGGAGCTGGAACCCAGACGTCGGGGGGCTTGTTGCTGTCCGATTCTGACAGGTACTCGTGGAACGCCGACGAGTGCAGGAGCGTCAACACGGGAGGATTCGATGGGCCTACAAACACGGGAGGACTCGGAGGAGAAGGTGGAGCTGGAGGTGCAGGAGGACATGGAGGAGATGGTGGCGCAGGCGGCGCCGGAGGCTGTGGTGGCTCTGGGGGCGATGGTGGGATACGGCTATACCTATCAGAAACTAATGAGCACGATTGATTGCATTGACATCAGACTGAGTACAAGTATAATCCTAATTGGGTTGTACCCCATATAGGCTAGCCCACTACAACCTATACAACATAAGTAGCATTATAGTTTGACACAACCCCATAGGCAAAGTGGGAGAGAACAAGGGGTCACAAGACCAGTCAAGAAAAACAAAGCAAGCTAAGCGTGGATCACGAAGTCACCACACACTCTGAGCACAAGCAAGTGGCCACAAGGCCAGTTCACAAGCAGAGTTATATAAAAGAGAGCAAACAGTACAGTGATCACTACCTAGCAAGAGTACGCATGCAGGTATATATATAGGTCACAGCACAAGCAAAGTCAAGTAGTGAGCAAGTGAGGCAAAACAGACACAAGGCCCAACACAGTACAGAAGCGCTGATGATCACAAGGCTGAAGTGCCTTGATGAAAATATCAGCAGTGTTGGCCCGAGTGGCCACGTAAGCAATACGACGCTGACCATGCTGGTGCAACTCTCTAGCAAGGAAATAACCCAGAGCGATGTGCTTCGTTCTGTGCTCCATTCTGTGCTCCTGACACAAGGCAATTGCAGCCTTGTTGTCTACGTACAGAACTGGAGGAGAACGAGGCCGCTCTCTCAAGTCGGTCAGCAGGTAGGTGAGCCAGCGTAACTCCTGTGCAGCCATGGCTGTCGCGTAGATCACAGCCTCACAACTGGAGCTGAGAACAAAAGACGAGCGGGTAAACCGCCAAGGAATAGAGCCAGAGCCAAGGCTGAATGAGCAACCTTGAGACGACCGCTGCGTAGTCAGGTCGTCAACCCACAAAGCGTTTGAGTGTCCAGCGAGGACAACTGGTCCCCGCCCTCCAAGCACGAGCCCCATGCCCAATGTATTGCACAAGTAATGTAGTACCCTCTTTGCAGCATCCATGTGCACCTTTCGGTGCCTACCAGAAGGCCAAGAGGGTACGCAAGGTCAGGACGTGTGCAGGTCATCAGGTAAATGAGGCAGCCCACTAGCTCTGGGTACGGGCCACTTGGCTCTACAGACTCGTCCGAAGGTGTAGCTGAGAGCGAGTGACCGGTAGCCAGAGGAGTGGACTGTGGCGAGGACCAAGTGAAGCCGAAGCGCTGAAGGACCTGCTGCACCATGTGTGACTGAGTCAGGGTGATGGTGCGTCGTGCTCTGTCCCGGGTGATCTGCAAGCCAAGATAGCTGCGCAGCTCACCCACGTCTATGCACGTGTGTCTCTTCTGCAGCTCCGACTTCACAAGGGCGAGTGCCTCAGTGTCAGCAGTGGCAAAACCCAAGTCGTCGACGTACACGAAGATGTAGAACAGCGGCAACGAAGTGTCGGTGCGGAGAAACAGCGACGGTTTCGCAGTCGAAGGAGCAAACCCAAGTGCCGCAAGTGTCGTCCTCGGTGTGTCGCCTTGGAAGAAGTCAACTCTCTATTGTTTACTGAAGCTTCGTGCAACGTAATGAGCCTTGAAGGCAGGCGGAGAATCTGGCGGCCGCTTCACCGTGAAAATCCACATGCCATCGACTATGTTCGCTCGAGGAGGGGGAACTGCGTCGTTGTACGTGCCTGTAGACTTCCAGGATGCCATCTCTACATCCATGGTTGTCTGCCACTGAGAGGAGTAGGGACCCTCTATCGCCTCTACATAAGAGCGCAGGGTCGGGATGTTTGTTGCATCCGGGTCTCCCTCAGGTGCAATCAGCATGGACACAAGATGAGGTACAGCAACTGCAAAACACTCAAAGTCCTCCTGCCTGTCCTCAAGGACGTCCATGCCAAGAGCACTCTCACCCTCGATAGACAGAGGACAAACAGACTCAGACTCAGCAACAAGACTAGCGGCGTAGTCGAGACGACAGGCAGCAGCAACGTCAACAAGCTCAGCAACTAGGGCAGACGCAGCAGTGGACTCAAACGAAGGGTAAGTGACAATAGTGGCCAGAAGACGCGTAACAGTAGGACTAGCAGTACGAAGCAGGTCAGACTCAGGGTCCGGTCCGTCAACAAGAGAGGACGCAGGAGGAGACGGCAAGGGGAGACGATGTGGAACAGAGGAAGGACGAAGTGCCATATGGTGCGTGACGGGGACAGGAGGAGGACGCGGACGCGGAAGACGAGTACTAGTGCGACCAACGCGAACTGGCCAAAAGACGCGTAACAGTAGGACTGGCAGCACGAACCAGGTCAGACTTAGAGTCGGGTCCGTTAGGAAGAGTGGACGCAGGAGGAGACGGCAGAGGAACACGCTGTGGAAGAGAGGAAGGACGAAGTGCCATAGTGTGCGTGCCGGGGACAGGAGGAGGACGCTTACGAGGAACACGGCGACCAGTGCGACCAGCGCGAATAGGCGAGGCAGGACGAGACGCAGGCTCACGGCGCTCAGTAAGACCTCCTGTCTGCTCAGTGTAAGGAGAGGGAGCAGGCATTGGGGAGCCTGGGTGTAACGGGAGACCAATAGAAGACGGGAGACTAA